AGCATGAATAAATTCACCTCTGTTCTTATTACTAAAACTAATGAACAAAATCTGGCCCAGCAGGGTTGGCATTTTACAAGATGCCTATACATGTCCTTTATCACAACTCTGTCTCATGGCTGAGGTTGAAAGAAAACTCACCGAATAATTTTATATCCAATTTTCAAAAGAGAAAATAGTGGCTCTATGAGTTTAAGTTGTTCTTCAGAGTCAAGAGAATCTTAGCAGTGTAGTGTCATGTTGCTCCAAAATAAATGCACTCTCCTCTTCTTTTTTTCCAATAAACAAAATAGGGTCCAGAAGATTTTGATCAATTAACCTAAAATTCTTCAAACTTCCATCTATAAACATTCCCAAAATTCTCCAGCACTCCCCTGAGTTATTTAAGTCCAAGGAAATCTGTTTCATTACATCAGAGCTCTCTAAAATGTCTTTCGATGTTTGGCGAATCGTTAGTTGCACAAATGAACATGTGAAGCTGAGAAATATGCTGCTCTTTGGGATTTCAGTACCACTATCATAGTTATAAATAATTAAGAGTTATTAAAGTATTTACAAGTGTGCCATGGTAAAGCACTTTTATTGGCTGAACAATTAAACATTCCTTCGCCCCATGAAATGTAATATTACAGTTAGTAAAGCCACAAAAGCACCGGTTGTATTTTAAACAGTGTTTTCCTATCATGTAATTTGGAAAATTAACACTAATTTATAATCTCTTAAATAGGCCTATCCCCAAAATAATTGGGAGAGAATAAAAGGTGTGGGAAATTGAAAATTTAGGTCAATAAAAAACTTGAAAAACAAACACATTCCCTTCCTAAGAACATTAAAATTATTACATTAATTTTGCATACACCAAAACCCAAAGTATTAATTTTATTTTAGACTAAACCAAACCAAGCAAAAACCATTCCATGCCCTCTACCACTTATCGAGCACCTTTCTTCCTGGTCTCAAAAGTTCAGTGCTATGAGAGATGACCCTGAAAACAGATAAGTTAAAATGTTTTCCCAAATGTCAAAAGCCAGAGACATCAGCAGCACCAGTTGCAGAGCCTCGGAGGGTGGATCTTCCTTCTTTCTCTTCATGCTGCTCCCTCACAAGGAAGCCGGCAAAAACAAACCACACTGTTCAGCTGGGTTACTAGTCTCCATCCCCCAGCTCCCTTCTGACCCCAATACCAAGTAGCTCTGTTCTGGAAAGAACACTGTATTTACAAAATGTTATCAAGTTTCCCATTTCTCTTACACAGAATAAGGTTCATTTGTTCCATTAATTGCTTGTCTCAGAGGATGTAACCTCTGGGAGAACATGAGCCCCCTGCGTCATTGAAAAAACTCATCTGACACTGGGAACCACCAACTTCTCTTCTTTTGCGTGTGCTGATGGAGCACAAGAAAGAAAAGTGACAAAAGCCTCTGCTTAGCTCCTTTGACATAAAGCAGCTGGGGAAACCCCTGGGTTGTTCATTGAAAGTAAAGATACTGCCTTACATAACCTATCTTCTCTAAGAGCAAATGGCTATGCAGTTGATCCAACAGAAACCTCACAGCAAAGCTAGCAGCAAAAAGAAGACAGTAACACAGAGAAAAGATGTCAGGAAGGGGGTAACTCTGAGCAAACTAGAAAGGAGCTGAGTATGGAGAGATCTCTCCGATAGGCCTGAAACGCATAGACCCTCACACACCTGTGCTCTATTTTTAGAAGGTCCATGTCTCTAACCAACAATGACTTACAAGTGCTCACCCACAGAGCGCAAGGAGAAACAGATGCTTTGTTTCACCCATACACTTGACAGTCCTCTTCCCCATCCTCAGATTTTGGCTTAAACATTCTAACTGTATAGAGTTGATTGCAAGAGAGATAAACAGCTCTATTGCTAACGTTAGTTTTTAGCACCCCCGTGATTTTATTTCATATATGTGAACAGCAAGGGAGGGAGATGTATCATTGTTGGGTGATTTTTTTAAAAGAACAAGAAAATAATTTTAAACATTTAAAAAGTTTCAGGAAAGCAACCCCTACGTACTACAGCTTGAGAATTTGTATTTACAGAACTGCAGACAGCACAGACATTGTTCACCTGAGACCAGAGTTATTGAAATTTAGGGTGACAGAGGCTGTGAGCAAATTCTGAATAGAAGGCAAAAATATTCGTGAAAGTGACAGTGTTCTAGAGTATCCCTTCCACGGACAGTCAGAATCAAACTTGATAAATCCCAGCCTTACTTCATTAGCTCCTGAGCTTGCAGTAGAAACCAGTGGCTTTTAAAGGAGCCTTTCTGCTATACTAAAAAGCTCTCACTACAGTAGAACAATAGCATAGTGTTGAAAGTTGGGAGTGGAACTATTAGGCCTCGTTAGCTAATTATGGTATTGGCATCCACTTAAGTCAGTTTTGCACTTCTGTCATTTTCTTCCTTTCAACTGCTGTGGTTCAAAACGTTTTGACTACTTAAAACAGAATACATAATCGTTGCCTTTCCCCAGTCTAACTGCTCACCACTTTCCCAAGCTATAGCTTCAATCGTGCTTCATAAAATCCCCTACAAGTATATTGTTGGAACTATAAATCAGCAAGCCGGGGGTTTAGTGTTTCTAAGTCAAGCCCAGAGATCACCGAATGCCGGCTTCTCGTGGTCCCATTTACCACAGAATAAACAAAATTACGAGTTACACTAGGTTCACTTTTCCCCCTCCCCTTTGGAGAAGGGACAGCTCCCAGTGGTGTATCTGATACTCGCTGCTGCATCCTTAATTAGAGAACAAAACAGCAGCAGAAAGGAATCAGACTCCAAGCTGAGGATTTCTATTTCCAAGCATCTCTGACTTCATTAAGGCACATGGCAAGGAAGTCCTACATGTTTGTTCTCACAAAAGCTGGGTCCTTCTAATACGCATCTATGCCTCTATGAGAGCCACGCATTGTAAAACTGCACTAGATAGAGAGATCTTTACAACGATGCTCTCTTCCTACCCTGTCTCATTAGAGGGAAATGGGCTCCCCTGGAGGCACGCTTCCGTTTCAGGGTCCTCTTTTATAACCACTTCATATTCTGACAAGAAATTAGCTGAACCACAATTTCAAATATGTAACATATGCACAACAAAATTATTCATGCTCTTGTGTACCGTTTAAGCCTAGAATTTAAACATTCCTAGATGATCCTTCTATCTCTAAATTCCAACACACTTACTGTCTGCAATGATAAATGCCCAGACTCCATGAATGAGACATTTTTCTTCTGCAAACAACTCATAATGTAATCATAAGTCTGCATAAACTTGCTTCTTATGATTTATATTTCTCCACACCACTTACACATTTAATTACAGTTGTATTTTAACAGCAATTTTCAAGGACTGCTTCTCAGTATTGTGAAATACCTTTCCATTTTACAAAAGAATACTTAAATACGATTAGCAGGTCGACAAAAATTAAAACAGCGTACCTCTGGGGAATAAGTGTATACTCATCTTTGACGTAAGAGTGTCTGAATTAACAGAATAGTCTAATGCTAGCTCCAGATGACCATATCTGCAATTTCCCCAAGACTAATGTTATACACTCTGTGCCATTATGGGAAAATGAACAGCATCTTAGTAAGACACTTTACAAACCATAGCAATAGCCAGGATTTGCATTTATTTCTGAACATAAAATCTGCATCCAATCGTGTTTCATCAGCCACTAATACTATAGCTTTGGGGAGGAGAAGGGCAGAGAAAGGAAGGTTTCACATCCAAAATGTCAAGCCCTGCTGAAGAATGATAGAAGGACTGTAAGAGCAGAAACCACCATTTCTGGGCTTAAAATGGAGTTCTACCACCCCCTGCTGGACAAAAGCAACAACACAGAGGAAGCTAGAAATGCTTAGCATCGATGTAGTGAAGATATTTTAACTTATCTTGCAATTTATTATTTTATTTAAAAATTCACGGTACGCTAATAATACAACATTTTCTGCAATTATTACACATCACAGCATCACTGCAATCGCCTCCTTTAAAGACTTCCACCAATGCATCTTTTAGTATTTTGTTTCCCCAATTATATGTCCAAACTTGTGAGGACAGTTGAAAATGCTTCCACCTATCGTAAAAATATTTCAGGTAAATGTGTGCTATCCATACAAGCAAGAGAAATTCAGATCTATCTTTGCCCAGATCAACAGAGGTAGCTCCACAAATTCTCCCTCCGGTTATTCTACAAGGCTATTCTTGGTTTTTTTCCCCCTCCAGATATAAAAGCTCCTACCAGTTGTCCATAACCCTAAAATCCCTTGCAAGAGTCATTGCAATCTCACGTTATAAAATAGTTCTGCTTTCTATATTAACGAGGAGCTGGGGGTCTGAAATGAATGACTGCAACACATCTCCAGTTTTATCCGTCGGCTTTCTTACACACCACCTCTACGGCCCTTCTTAGTTTCCAACATAAATAAGCCATCATCGTTCACTTCATAGCCAAGAATTGGTCTCGGGAAAGAGGAAAAAAAAAAAAAAAAAGAGTCTCTAAGAACTGAATTGCTTGCACACAACGGGAATATTTCACAGACGAGTTTAATGCTTACAGTTTTTGCTGCTTCTGTAAAACATCATCAGACCCTTTCCTCCCACCACCTCTGATATTTAAGAATCGATACACACCGACAGACTCATTCAATTTTTTGAAAATGAAATTCAAAGAAAGCTAAAATCCCAAGAAAAAAAGAAGAAGAAAGAAAGAAAAAGCAGTTTGCCTGGATCTGCGGCTCACTGATGCCCATCTGCAAATCTGCATTTTCTCTTCTCTCATTGAAGGGTCTCCAGAAAACACAGACAATTTTAGGGACAGCCAAAAGACCGAGCTAAAAAATAATAAGGATCACAACAGTCACCGTAACTTTAGTTCTTTTTTTTTTTTTTTTCTTAATTTTTTCCTCCTGTGCCTCCCTCTTTGCCTCTCTGGGTCGGGTGGACGGGGAAGTAAATGCAATAAAGCACCGCACTCCTACCTTGCCCGCGACTGACAAGCAACCCGAGCAGGTAGAAGGAGAGGAGGAGGCTCATGTTCAGACGTGACACCGGCGGACAGTCCCAAAGTTATTAGTCCAGCCCGGAGAGACCCTTCCGCTGCACGGCCGCCCGTCGAGCCCGCCCGCTCGGGTGCCGG